ATTGCTACTGGACCTTATAGAGAATGAATCCCTGGCCCTGTGGACTTGAACCCATAATAGACTGGGTGTTATCTAATTTACTAGGCCACACAATTAGGCATGCACAGCGACACTTTATCACAAGGTAGAAATAGTACATGCAAAATCAGGCTCAAGTAGATCCCAAACTAACAATAAAGTCACATGTGCTAATGGCTCAAGCTCCTATGGTACATTCTTCTGCTGCACTGCCATCTTTCCTTCATCCAATACTAGGCTTTTATGGCGATCTCTCTGTGACCAAATGACTGAGGAAGGGTCTAGTTTACAGATAGTTTTCTCCATGTCCTGACAAACTTGGAATAGAGCACTATAGCCATAATCAGGAGTGTAATAAAAGATAAAAATAAAACGCAAACACTGGGGAAGAGAAGTCCTCTCAGTGGGCAGAACTTTGAGCAGTGTTTTTCACTCTCTGCTTTCGCTGGACTGAGAGATCGCCTGAGCCATGGTCGAACTGCACGGCTTCGTGGGTAATGGCTAAACGTTGGCTGGATGGCCAGGGATTTAGAAAGAAAGGATCAGAAGCTTGACTGCAAAGCAGTATGGAGATGGACTTCTTAAATGGACACAGAGCATGAGGATATTTGGGTGAATGTTAAGTGTTATATGAACGCTCACAGAGGCATCTGCTACAGACAAAGATCTCAACAATCAGGTAGGAAAAAAGGTCTATTCAGTGGATGTCTGTCAGTTTCTTTCTCCAAACACTCAGGGTCTTGCCCAATGGGTTCATGTACACAGGACATGACAGTAGGAATGGAGGCTGCGTATGGTCCCAACGACATGGACGTCCCATCACCAATCAAGATCCAGGTACCCCCACCACTAAATGCTCAAGTTGACAATAGCAGAAGCCAACACTGAGCTCCTGTTATGGCACTATTTGGCGAGGAAGGGGGATAATCCAGCCACCGGCTACATTGGACCCCTTCCATAATGGAAGGGTTGCAATTGTCTTCACTGGAATAAGCGCTTACTCTAGATATTGATTTGTCTTCTCTGTTTGCTATACTTCTGCAAACACACCATCCATGGACTTATGGATGGCCTTATTCACCTTCACGGTATCCTTTCACGGTATTCACCTTCATGGCATACAAATTGCTTCAGACCGAGCAACTCATTTCACAGCAAAAATAAAAGTGCAGCAACAGGTTCGTGCTGATGGAACTTGCTTATGTTACCACTAACACCTGGAAGCAGCCGGCCTGAGAGAAAGGTGGCGTGGCCTCCTGGGTTCCATTATGGTTCCAGCTGAGAGAAAGTCCTGTGAGGTGGAATCACTATCCTACAGGATGCAGCATGTGCTTTAAAACAGCGACAAATATACGGTGCTTTTTCTCCCATAGCCGGAATCCGTGGATCTGAGAACAAAGAGGTGAAAATGGCAGAAGTTTCTCTTGCTATTACCCCTGATAATCTACTTACAGGATATTTGCTTCCTATTCCCACAACTTTGAGTAGTGGGCACTTTTTAGAGAGCTTAGTCCCTAAAGGAAGAGAGATTCTACCAGGCAAACAGCAATTGTTCTATTGAATTGGAAGTTGAGATTGCCATCGGGCAGCTTGGGTTCCTCATGTCGTTGAACCAACAGACAAAGGAAGGGGTTGCCGTACTTGGCTGGGGTTGTTGATTCTGTTGACCCGTACTGGTTGCTGCACAATGCTAGCAGAGAAAATAGGCCTAGAACTAAGGGGATTCCCTAAGACATCTTTTAGTAATTTACTATGTCCAAAAAATACAGGACTGAAAAAGAATTCAGAGCCTTCAAGAATGAAGATTTAGGTCACATCACCAGGTAAAGAACACTGACCAGCTGGCCGAAGGCAAGGAGAATATGGACTGGATGGTGGAAAAAGGAATTTATAAATATCAACTGTGGTTTTAGGACCAGTTCGAAAAATAAAGTAGCAGATATGAATAGTTTCTTCCTCATTTGTTTCCATTTATTTTCTCATTCTCTATTATTTTATATAAACGGTGTTGGTGACAATCAACTTTACAATATATAGTCTTTAGTGAATAAATTTAAAAAATAATTAACATCACTCAGAGATGGATATGAAGAGTGTTAAGAGACTCATGTCTCCATTTTAGGAGGAGAAGGTGAATGCAGCAAGAGAAGTTACAGCTTGCTAGACAGAAGCATGAAGTTGTTACTCTTGTAGTAAAGAAGTTTTCAAATGAGTAGAAGAGAGTGTGGATAATTCGTAGCCAAAAGGGGCATCTGTGATAGTTTATTCACCTATCATCTCACCCTTCTACTCTGTGCTCTGTGACACTGGGGCTGGAGATATGAGGACCACCTTGCCCAGACTCTTTGGCCAGTTTGTTCCAGTTAGATTCAGCCAGTGAGAGGCACAGCACGGGAGACTGGAAGGGAGGAGAAGAGAAGAGATTTTGCTATCCTGCCTCCAGCAGCTGTCAGCATCTCTCCAGCACGAAGAGACAGCAAAGACCCTAGCATCTTTTGGCACCCCAGGACACCCATGTGGAACTCCCTCAGAGGTCTGGACATCAGCCATGCTGTGCCCTCTCAGAAGTCTCAGCAGCCCCAGCACTGACTGTGAGGCACCCTGTCAGACGTTTGAGCCAGCTGGGTGGTGTCCTCCGTGGTCCCAGCACAGCTGCGTGGCAGCCTCTCAGCCGACTCAGTACAGCTAAGCAGTGGCCTCTCCCACACCCCACACTCAGGCTGCAGCTCCCTGGTTCTGGTATAGCTGCCCCTTTCTTTTTGGTTCTCCCAGCCTCAGGGGTGGTAGCTACTTCCCATCTACTAATCTCTGGGTTAGCTCGCCATCCTTTTCTTTTTCTTTCAGGCTATTAATTCCTTATATTGAATCCCCTCTGTTTAAAACACCTAGTGTGGTTTCTGTATTCTTAACTGGACCCTGACAGATACTAGCATATATTTTTAACAATTGATAAAAAAATTTTAAAACACATGACCAAAATGAAAATATTTAATATTTATGAACATCCTTTATCAGTCTGAGTTTTAAAGAAATAAACCTCCTCCAGAATTCAACCTCTTTCTGTCCCTGGATAGTGTGAAACCTCAGTTTCCGTTGGGGTCACATTATATGTCAGTCTACCAAGTGGCACTTTGCCCAGCTTCTCGTCTTCTTCCCCCAAACACAGGAACAGGATATCGAGCCCCTCCTAGATAGAGTGCTGCCAGGAGAGACTAAAAGCATTATTTAGATTCGAGTGTCAGGAAGTCAAAACAACGACTTTTTTCAAAAATTGCCGTCTCAGCATGTGCCCATTACACAGAATGCTTTCTTTCCGCTTCTCAGTTCATGTGCTATAAAAACACAGTGATCCACTTCCTGGCTTTTGGTGGAGGGGTCATGTGGGTCAATCTTTAGACTGACATGTGAACTTCTTAGTTCTATCAAATGTCATAACGAGAACAGGCATTTAAGCAGACAAGTGCCCACGCTACTTGGAAGAAATTTTTTGAAGGCCTGGCCCCTAAGAAAAACACTCTCCCTTGAGAATGTGACAGCATTTACAGGCTTCCTAAAAGTTCTGTACAATTGAGGTGGTTTCAAAATGAGACAGTGAGCTGAACAATAACATGTTCCTCCTTTGCTTGCCATTTTATTTCTGTGACCTGCCCCCAACCAGCATCTGTACATAAGGATGTGAAGAAGTTTTCCATCTGGGGGCTCCTTTGCAAACTGAGGCAAAAGAGACCCTCCAGAATGAAGCGAGAGCTCCCACCACCACAGGTATCAGAATTCCTACTGTGGATAAACAAGCCCTGGCAAACCTTTTAGAAACATGCCTTGCTATCACTCATTCAGCTCATCCCCAGCGGTGGAGACGGCAACTTTCCATTGCACTGCGACACCAGGACTTGGGCTTAGTGTGACCCCTGCTTCTGCAGATGGGCAACAAGCAAGGACAAGAGAATGCTATCTTTCGCACTGTCATCATGGGCTTCCTCTTGGCATGTTTCCAATGGGCTCTTATTTCAAATCTGATACTCCTCCGATTTGAGTCACATTACTAGTCATCCCAGCTTAGTAATTGTCAGACTACAGGAAGAAGAGTGGAGAGGGGGAAAATCCAGTCATTTTTAAATATTATGAAGTGCAAAAAACAAAAGGGGACAATGGCATCATTTTGAATGTGAAATGCTGCTTATTATAAGAACAGTTGTTTTGGCCATTGCCCTACAGATGAGAGAGAAGAGGAAAGATTTTTTTTCATGAGGAAAGAGCACATGAATATTGACAGAGGGTTCTGTTGTTTCCTGGGGGCTAGTCTTTCTAGAGGTAATTTGCCTAGATCTTCTTCTTCTTGCCCCAAACCACAGGGACAGAATAAATTGCCCCACTGAGAATGGAGATTTATGATTTGGGAGAACCAAATCAATCATTGGAACCCCATAGAAATATCACCCCCTCCAGGGAGAATTAGTTTCTCCTCCTCTGTACTCCTGTATTCACATTTGTTGTAATGATTTGCTTAGACCTGTCTCTTCGCTGGAACGCACAGTACACGTCTTACTCATCTTGGCATACGCCCAGCATTAGCCAGTGCCTGGGACAAGAGGGGTCAATGAGTGTTTATCGAGTAACGATTGAACAAAAGAGGCATGCTTGGAAACTAGGTCTTAAATTAACCTCAGGAAATGAACCTGCCTGGATATTCGGGATGAAATTGTTGGCAGAGGTTGGTTGGGAGCATTCATAAAGCACATTATCCAAAAGTTTCCGATTTTAGCAAGAAGATAAGGAAGGCGAAGGTAGCTGGAAGGGATTCCTGCTGACTTGATGGGTCTCAGAGCCCCAAAGACCTGACCTCTGAGAGCCATCACCATCTCCCTCCCTTTGAGCCTTAAGGTGTCAACAGCTAAGACACCCCCAAGTGTGTGATTCTATGCACACACACACATTTGTGCAAAATATGTCAAGGAGTCAGCCTTCAGGCAATGAGGAATATTTCTTAAAGTATCTACCAGCGAAGCAAAGGAAAAAAAAACTCCAGGCATCAAACAGTGAGGAAAAAAATGGCGAATAGTTGAAGTCCTGAAACAACACCCATTCAAAATGATTGACTGTTTGTTATGTAGAAAGAAGGAAATGCTTTTTTATTTTTTCCAGATGTGGGGAGGGCTATCACAGCCAGGCTGGAGGCGGCTCTCCTGCATTGTTCCCCTCAGAGTCTCTTGATACTGACTAGATCTGGAAATCTCCCACAGTGACTAGCAGGAGACTGAAGTGCTGCCTGAACATTCGAGATCACTAAAAATTATGTTCCCTTTTCTCAGGACAGGCATCTGCTTTGGTTCTGATCGTATTCTTGCCAGTTTCTCCCTCAGGCATCAGAGATCTGTGCCAAGCTCAGACAGGTGATTAGAGCCTTCCGAGATGGTAACCAGGTTGCCTGACATCAAAGGGCCATCCTCTTTGGATTCCCTCTTCTTTAATCCTGTTGCCTGTACCTGTCAAAGATAATGCACAGAAAGAAATCAAGAGACCTGGCTCACTTAGGAACTGTAGATTAAAAAAAAAAGTCTGAATAAAATAGTGGCCAATCAAATCCAGCACTGGATTGAAAAGATATGCAAACGACCGGGAACTTTACAACTTTCTACGGATCAGCTGGCAGTACCTGGAAGCACTGATCAATTCTGACATCACTGAAAGCAGGACAACTGGATCTTATGTGCCTCCTAACATGGTACAAAATCAAGGATACAGCAGCACCTTTAAAACATTCTTGCCTAAAATTTTACCTTTCATCTCATCAAGACTCTAGGTCTAACTACGAGTCGGAGGAAATTCAGGGAAAGGCAATTGTGTTTACAAGCACAGACAGGCAATCAATCGAATCTTGGATGCAAGAGATTCAACAAATGACCCCATTTCTTCAACTAAGCACGGAAACAGTAACCTGAAAGGGAGAGCTGTTGTAGATGGAGAGACTTGTTAAAACAAACCAACCATTCAAAACAACCCAATGTTTGAGGCAATTGGAGAAAACAACTTGGATGTATTACATGACTCTAAGAAATGAGTATTAACTGGTACTTGTGTTAGATGTCATAGTGCACTGTGCTTGTGCTTTTAAAGTTCTTATCTGTTAGAGGGCCATATTCGAGTATTTATGGATAAAATGATAGATTATCCTACGATTTGCTTTAAAACACTCTACCCAAATGGGGAAGAGGAGAGAATAGATGAAACAAAGATGTTGATAATTATGGAATTTCGGTGTAGGTTATACGAGAATTCATTATATTATTCTCTACACTTTGGAGTTTGTTTGAAAATTTCCATAACTAAAGTGAAATAAAAATAAACACCATGAGCAAATAAGGGAATTTCCAGAAACGCAAAAATGATTTGACGTTAAAAATACTTCACCATGACAAAAAGTTAAAGGGAAAAATCACTTAAGCAACTTAATAGATGTTAAAAAGGCCTTTGTAAAATTCAATACATAGTCCTTATTTTAATAACAAAAATATTGGCAACACCCACAGAGCATTTGTTAAATGTATTAGAGTATTGCCACCAGGAAAAATACCATGCATTTGCTAAAAGCAACGTTCTGGGAAAGCAACTAGTGATGTAGAAATATGTTCATGATGTACTAAGTAAGAAATGAAAATTTCCAAAAGACTAAGATATTATTTCATTTTATATTGATACTATATATACCAAAATGTGAAGAGTGGTTAGACGTGGGTTTGGGTTTAGGTTTGTTTGTGATTTTCATTCTCTTTCTTGTACTTAGCTGTATTTTCCAAAATATCTACAGACAGCACACATTATCTTTTTAATAAAGGAGAAGCACACAAAGTTATTTTAATTTTTTTATTTGAAACTCTTGTGGTCATTTCTTCAGTTTCAGATACACCTAATGAACTCTGATCTTACCAACATTTCTCCATTTTGCCCAAAAGAATATATATATATTTTTAAAGATTTTATTTTTTTCCTTTTTCTCCCCAAAGCCCCCCAGTACATAGTTGTATATTCTTCGTTGTTGGTCCTTCTAGTTGTGGCATGTGGGACGCTGCCCCAGCAGCAGTGCCATGTCCACGCCCAGGACTCAAACCAACGAAACACTGGGCTGCCTACAGTGGAGCGTGCGAACCCAACCACTCGGCCACGGGGCCAGCCCCTGCCCAAAAGAATATTTTAAGACACTTCTCAAATGTCTTCTTGCAATTAAAGTTGACAGAGTTTGCAGTGTTCCCAATGTAATAATGTTATTGAAACAAAAATCAGAGGCCCTATTGAAAAACAACATTCATATTAAATACCTTGAACCACCCTGAGATAATTAAGTTATATCAATTGTGTTTTTAAATTATTTGTATTTTACAATTCTTCATGCTTATGGCATAAAGTCTGAGAAAATACAAAAGTGGAATCAGTTTTTATATGGCAAGAGATTCAGGAATTAATTTTTTTTCACTTTTGTAATCATGTTATAAAAGGCGAGAAACTATGCAGTACGTTTTAGAACGATTTGTATCCAAAGAGAATTAAATTGTTAAAATTTCATTAAAAGGGGTAGCTCCAGTTATCTCATGAAAAAAAAGTAGTACTTCATGAGATACTACTGTGCTGCAAGAGATAAACTCACAATTTTCTTAACCAAATAATAAAAGAATTATTAGGAAATAGAATTAATCTTTATTGTGAACTCTCTTGCTAAAAATCTAATTGTTGTTATGTACCATGCACTGATAGTTTTGAAGGACTGAAAAAACAAAAAAACCAAAATAAAGTAAAAGAAATCAAACATCCTCCTAAATTGCATGTTTTCCAAAATTCTGTCATTGAGCCTGACACTTCAGTTCCATTTGTGAATCAGACTGAGTTTCTCTCTGTGAGCAGATTTGGTTTATTTTCAGCCTCATTATTAAATTTGCATGGTCGATACAAACTTGCTTACAAAAGGGCATTCCCTCAGAAAAGTTGAAGTTTTATAATTAACCCTTAAAAATAAGCTCCAGAGATATTATTAAGCTGAAGGAACAATATACAGGCTTCTGTCCTTGTTCACTAACTAAAACTCCCCAATTAGCACCAAGACTATTGTGGCTTCAAGGGGAGCTTGGCCCGATGAAGGTCAGTTGGACTATATACTAAATGAAATGTAGGAATATTCTGAACATTGACTATTGACCTTCCTCCTGTATTTAGTTCTTTGCATTCCTGAAAAGACAAAACTATGTTTAAAACACTCGTTTTCCAAATGACCATGGTAGACTTGACATGAGATGATCTTTGAGTGGTGTGGCCTGACAGCTGTATGATACTCTGTCCCGCACTTTTCTTCCAATAATAGAAATACACTGGTCCAAGGGCTCATATAAAATGAAATGTATCCAGTTTCTGCATAAATTGTTGAACAGCTATTTTAGACGACTAGGTTTTACCCTATGTTTTCTCATCCTTTTGACACAGGTTCCAAACCACTGACTGGAGAAATATATAATTCTGAAAGTAAAAATTTATAATACTGAAAGTTTCAACTTGAGCCAAGTTTTGAAATAACATAAGACTTATATTAATAATAGTATCGTTTATTCATTTAATTCCAGTGAATTCAAGAGCTACAGAATATATCAAAGAACCTAACAAACTGCCATTTTTTTCAGTATTCTTATAAAATTTTTTGCGTATGTTATATTGGTGTGCAAACATGCAATTTTAGAAACTAGGGGTAAAGAAGAACATTTAGTCTACTCTTTTTTTTATTGTAATAATTCTAAAGTAGAATTGGAGATGCTGGCATATATGATAGGTTATTACAAAACATTCTTTAGCGTTGAAGCTTCTGTTTCCTGCCAATCTAAAATTTATCAGGGGAAAAGAAAATGTGCGCGCGCACACACACACACACACACACAAACTGCAGTGACTAGAACCCTAACATCAATAAATCCTTTTAAAGAGGAATGATCCTATCCACTACCAAGTCATTCACTTCAATTTCTAGTCACAAAACTTGAGATAAACAGTTCTCTTCAACTGGGCACTAGCTTTTCTAGAAGGATTTCTCCAGAATCCAGTTCTAATCATATTCTCTCTTTCCTGAGCTCAAGATCCATGTTTCTACCTGCCTCCTGGTCATCTCCATCTAGATGATCAACAGGTTGTGTAGAAACCTGAAACACATTTTCCCCACCCTACACCCAACTCACTTCTTCCCCCAGGACTCCTCAATTCAGGAAATGGCATCGCGATTGCATAGTCAGAAGGTCGTGAGAATTGGAAATTTTCTCTCACCGCCCGTGCTTAATAGGCACCAAGTCCCAGAGAGCCTATGAAACACTCTTCAAATTTATATATTCTATTATATTACCAATGGCTTTGCCCTATTCAGGTCATCCCTTCCTCTCAAGAATAATATTTTAAAGGACTCTGAACAGACTTCTGTTTCTAGCCAACATGAGATAACAGTAACTGAATTTATCCTCCCTCCTGAAACTACTGAACAACTGAATGAATGTACGAAACAATGCTTCACAAAACCTTGGTCATCAGGCAACAAAGGACAGAGATCCTTGAGAGACAGGAATAAGGTTAGTGCTGTGATGGCCCCTGCTTTGTCTCTAGAAAAAGTTTTCAGGCTTGGCCCAGAGAGGGGAAAACCAAGTACAGAGAGCCTGCTTGTCTCCCTCAGTTGAGGAGACAGAATTGTGCGAGTGAGGAAGCCACAGCTTCCAGAAGTCACAGGGCAGATTGCCAGCGGGAAAGTGCTGGACATCTGCAGAGGGTTATCCTTGGTGTTCAGCTGAGTACTGATCACCACATGTGGAGGAGGAAACTCAAGCCAGGATGAAAAAAACAAAACGAAACTGAAAACATTAAAGGGAACAATACCCTAATCTCACGTGGACTGAAAAAATTGCCTATTCCCATCAACCAAATTAGAAAACCTCATAATTCATAGAGCGTCACTTAGAGTACCCAAAAGGGGTTTACCCAGCAATGAGGAAAAACCAATCCTAGACTAAACATTGCTTTGGTCCTGCTTAACAAAGCTTTAAAGGCAGACACAAAAGGAGCTACTGTTTCCAAGGAATTTAGGCACAACCCAGAGCAAAACTCAAGAATATTTACAGGAATATAAAAATATCCAACAAGGTAAGAATCACATGTCTGGCATCTAACCAAAAGTGACGCAGCAAGAAAAGAAGCAGGAAAAAATGACCCATGGGGACCAGAAAAATCAATCAATCAACATTGGCCCACAGTTCATATGGATGATATATTTAGTGGAGAAGGACAGTGAAAGTTATTACAACTGTATTCTATGGATTCAAGAAGCTAGAGGAAAGATTAAACATGTTAACTGGAGATGTGCAATATATAATGAGTCTTTATATATTAAATTTGAGTCTAATTTAATTTTTAAAAATCAAAACTACAATGTCTGAGATGAAAAATGTACTATTGATGGAATTAATGGCAGATT